GATCCCTTATAGATCCCTTAAAGGAACCCTAGGTATTCCTTAATTAAGGAGTCTCTGGGTGCTCGGCCCTCCAAGGCCCATCGCCCCGGCCGAGTTTTTGCCACCGCAGCGTTGAGCGAGGTCCTTAATTCAAGGATTTTGGAAGGTCTGGGCTCTAAACCCTATAGATCCCTTAAAGGAGCCCTTATAGCACCCTTAGAAGGAACCCGGGGCAGCCGATTAAAGGCGTAGCGTGTGGTGTTTTTTTCGCCTTTGGGCGGGGGGTTCTTGCGAGCTGGCATCGGATGTTTGAACCCTTGGATCTGAACCCTGAAGCACAAGCAACATAACAAAACCCTGCAAGCCTTTGACGGGAGAGGGCCACAGGCTCACCTTGGAAGCAGAGCCTGAGCCAGGTAAGCTAGTAGTCATAGGAAGCTCGGCTGTGAGGTGAGAGCTTGCCCTGTGGGCCAAATGGAGCCATCGGGGGCAAGTGGTGGCAGACACCACCGTTCGCTGCCCGATTGACGTTGGAGCCAGAACCCCGGCTTTCGCAGAGCGCACGGGTTGCCGGTTTCAACTCCCCGATTTCGTCTCTGACGTGCTTCAGCAACTCACCTTGACATGTCATCAGCTGACCAAGCGGAGGTTTGCTGACGCTGAAGCGCCAGAGCTTTGCAACGGTGGCCGCAAGCGAAGGAGGCAAGGTACATTGCACGAGGGAGATGGTGACATCGGCTTCACTTGCCGGCGTGAGAGTCGAAGATGACCGCAGGCAGTTTCTTCGCACACCTCGGCTCGCTTGGCTTGCTGCTGATCGGCTACGCCGAGGTTGTAGAGGACTTGTGATGGACTTGTGGGCTTATGACGCATTGTTCGATTGTCCCATACCTTCTGGGCCGCAGTCAGGGCATCCCTGAACCGAAGCACAGCCTGGAGGGCAAACTGTGTTATCACTCGCTTTCCAGAGTTGACGGTTGGAACGCAAGTAAGTAGTCTTTTGGACCGTTGAAAGCCATGCATTCAGGACAGCTTCTTGTGTAAATCCAGATGTTGCGGTGGGTGCCCGTAGCGTGGACTTCCCTGGACAGCCTTATCTGCTCTCTTGTGCTTAGCCGGGTCGGACTGCGAATTGTCTCGTGCGCGAGCAGTTGCCCTTGTGTTGGTAGAATCAACACTGCTTCGAAGAGAGAATTGGGAAAGCAGAACGCTGACTTCTTAGCATGATGTGTCCATGTTTGAAATTGTGCTATCATCTCATGCCAGGAGAACAATATGCGAATCACGGATCTCACCCTTGGCGAAATGCTGGTTGGTCCGTTTGCCAAGAGGCAGGCAAAACCGTCTAGTCATGTGCAAGAAGATTCCATTTGATGCTCTCGCAAGTTTTTCGGGTGTCACAGCGGTGCTAAGGCCTCTGGAACGGTAATCTTGCCATGATCATGTTGTTAGAAAGTAGTTCTGTGATTGCTCCTATCTAGGCGCCATGTGTCCCTAGGTCAAATTTCGACTTCCTCCACTTGCCACAGGTCCAAGCAAGGTAGTCGTGCTTGGAGTTTTTACCCGCCAGTGCCCTTGCCAGGGGTTCAGAACCTCCACAGCCTAAGGGAGATGCTTGTCGTCATCTGGTCACTTCTCTACGCCTCCTGTGCTGCATCGGCATTGCCCGGTCACAGCCTGCGAGGAGCACCGGAGGATGTGAGGAAACTGCAGAGTGCAGCCTTGCTAGATCCAAGCCCACGCTTTGGAGTACCGCAATGTGGTCCGGGCTACGTGGACACTACTGCGGGGAATGCGTTCTATCCTTGGTCTTGTGCTGGTTCTTGTGCCGGTGGGATCTTCTGGGCCACAAGAGACTGCAATTGTGCTTGCGCGACGCAGGAGCGTTCGCCGAGTCCGCCGAGTCCGCCAAGCGGAGCCGACAGCACCAACACGGTCGGACCGGACACTACTCAGCGCCCGCAAACGACACCGCGCTACATTCCTGTGCAGGAAGACCCGCCCAGCTACATCGTCCCATCGCCAAGCACCACCGAAGTCCCCGCAGCCCAGGAGGCATCAGGGGCTGTTGAAGGGGGCCTAACGGTGCCGTCGTCGCTGCAGCCGTGGCGTCCGTCGGTCTGCTCGTGTGTGGAGTCGTCGTGTGCATCTGGGTAAGCACGGTGCCTCAGAAGTCAATGCCGCACCTGCGCGTTGCTGAAGTTCCGGCGGTAACAGTCCACGCGCCGGCTGAGCATTGCCCCCAGCCAATCGATGCGGGGAAGCCGCCACGGCCACGTGCAAGCAGCAAGATGTCCACTGATTCGCAGGCGTCAGACCGATCCTTGATCTCCGGATCTCGGATCAGCAGCCGCATGAGCTGCCCTTCGGAGCAAGGTTCGCAAGACTCGGGTCAGTTCACGAAGACTTGGGAGAGACCCACTGCAAGTACCACTTCCAGTGCACTGCGACCCACGATCGCGAACGCGACGCTTTGGGCTCACCGCGTAAATGCGGAAAGCATTGGAGGGTGTCAGTTGGCAGCTGAGGGTTCGCGAGGCTCTTCCAAGCTGTCAAGAGTTGGGCCAGAGAACGGCTCCGGCTCTCGGCGCTCGAGCAAGTCGAGACAGTCGAGCAAAGCCTCAGCGATTGCCCCGATTCAGAGCTCGAGTTGAGAGAGCCTGGGTTGTCCTTTGGGATCTTTTTTTATTTCCCCTACTGTTTTGTACGGAACCACAATAGCAAATAATTTTCAAAGGGCTTAAAGGACAACTCAGGAGCCTGATGTTTTGAATTTTGAATCATTTTCCCAGCCTGGGTGTGTGCAAGCTAGCGCTGGCCAAGCTCCTGCAGAGGCCTGAAGGCCGTGCTAGGAAGATACGGTAGCAGCTTCAGTAGCCGCAGCTTTCTTGGCAGGAACCTTTCTGATCAGCCCCCTGCAGTGGAGCTCTTGCGCGCTCGGCCCACCAAAGGCTGAACCCAGAGACTCCAATATCCCTTAGTTAAGGAATATATAATATACCTTAAATCATGTTAGGCATCCTGCTATAATTAAGGTATACTCCTCAATTAAGGGATATTGAACACCCTAAACCCTAAACCCTTTAGATCCCTTATAGATCTCTAATAGATCCCTTAAAGGAACCCTAGCTAAAGGGGATATTGGAGTTTCTGGGAAGGCAGAGTCAACTGGGGGCCCAGTGACAGCCGGAAAGTGACGCGGCTTCGCAGCCGGTCACTAGCTCTTCAATGTTTGAAGGTAGGGGACCCGGACCCTAATATAGTTATAGTACCCTAGATAGTAGGATAATATAGTTATAGTAACCTAGATAGTAGGATAATATAGCTATAATACCCTAGATACTAGGATCCTTATTATAAGGACCCCCAAAAATACCAGGTCCCCTTATTTTTTTCATGGAAGCAGCGAAACCCGAATAGGCCAACAAGGAGCCTCCTCGGGGCCGCTTCTTTTCGGGGCCCAGGGCCGTGGTGGCATGCCAGAGCTGGACCTGCACCGCTAGGAACTCAAGGGTTTAGGGGTTTAGGGGTTTAGGGGTTTAGGGTTTAGGTCAAGGGTTTAGGGGTTTAGGGTTAAGGGTTTGGGGGGCAACGGAGGCAGCAAAGATTGTAGGGACGGTGCCATAGATCCATCTGTTCAGGCCCGCGGATTTCCACGGCACTGGCCCCATGTGCTTTCGCGATGGTTTGTGTGACGTCAACGTCCCGGTTCGGGGATCGCTAGAGCTTGAGAAAGAAGTTTGCACAGTCGCGTGAGCTTGGGGCTTGCCAGGATCCTCTCACTGCATATGTGTCGCTTGGAAGATGGTTGCCGGAAACCAACCCGGTTTGGGATTTCGGAAACCAAGGCTGTGGATTGAGAGTTTGGAACCCAGGATTTCGAGCTTGCCCACTGAGGAAGGATTACATGAGGGTGCAGACGTTGCATCCTTTGACGCCTTGGCCTGCTTTCAACGGCTCAGACTTGCAGCAGGTACCTGCAGCCGGCTGATTCTGATCCAAAGCGTTCTCCAATTCCTTGGAGAACGGTCGATGCTGTGCGCAGATTGAAAAGCGGTCCCGGTGTTCGGGTTTGGCTTTTTTATGCAGAGGCAACAGTAGTTCGGTAATCTTTCAGTGTGGTGGTTGTTGTTGTTGTTGGTGGTGGTGGTGGTGGTGGTGGTGGCCTGGGTGGTGGGCTGGGTGCTGGTTGCCGTTGTTGTGATTGTGGTTGTGGTTGTGGTTGTGGTTGTGGTTGTGGTTGTGGTTTTGGTTGTGGTTGTGGTTGTGGTTGCGGTTGCGGTTGCGGTTGCGGTTGCGGTTGCGGTTGTCGTCGTCGTTGTTGTTGTTGTTGTTGTTGTTGTGGTGGCTGTTGTGGCTGTGGTTGTGGTTGTGGTTGTGGTTGTGGTTGTTGTTGTTGTTGTTGTTGTTGTTGTTGTTGTTGTTGTTGTTGTTGTTGTTGTTGTTGTTGTTGTGGTTTTACGTGGTGTTCTTGTTCTTCTTGCTCTGTGTTGCTCTTCTTCCTCATCGTCTTCTTAGTGTCAGAGCCGTCATGGTTGTCTCCTGTACCTTGCGCCAAAACAGCCTGTGGGCTCCGGGCTTTCCTGCTCAGAATTTCAGTAATAATTCCGTTACAAATAACAATCTTAATAACAGTAATGATAACAATAAAACTAAAAATCGTGCTAGTAGTACTGCTAGTAGTAATATAACAATCATAAGCATAGTAGGCCTCTTGGGTTCAGGGGATTTCTCGTGTGCGCTGCGCTCGTCTCCGGAAGCTTCGTCTCTTTTTGGCTCCGCAGCCTTCTGTATGGTGCCTTATAATCACTTATACGATTTCTTTCTTAGGGAGGTTTCTTATTGTGGTTATAGTATAATATACCCCAAAGCCTCATTATGGTTGCAGTATACCCTCTTTCAACTCACACCTTGAGCCCTACAGCCTAAAGTGTGTTGTCCCATGCCCCCAAGCCCCGGCGCAGCTGAGCCGGTGATGCAAACATGGACATGAACAATCCTTCCTGAAGCGCTGGGGGAGAATGCCGACTCCCTTTGATGTCCAGGAGAAGATCCGGGTTGTAAAATGATCTACGGGCCTTACAGTTACTTGTGCTATTTTGGGGGGTTCCTTATAATAACAACCATAATGGTAGCATATGTCATATGGGAGTTTCCGACAATTGGGGGTACCTAATTTTGGGGTCCTTATAATAAGGATCCTACTGTTTAGGGTACTATATTAGGGTCCCCCATTTTCGCAAACTCCTATATACCTCAAAGCCCCATTCTAATTAGTCAGGCCCCTACATTCGACTTTCAAGGTCTGGGGCCTTGTTCGAGGGAAGACCCGATCTGCAGGAGATTTTCCAAAGACACGGTGCAAGACTATGCGGTTCAAGGTTTAGGGGTTAAGGGTTTTAGGGTTCAGGATTCAGGGTTTAGGGTTGTTTAGGGTTTAGGGAATCCTAATTCCCGAATCCACCCGGAGCCTCAAACCCTGAACCCTACACCCTGTACACGAGACCCTCAACCCTAAACCCCGTCACCCTAAATCCCAAGCCCAGCCCTTACCTCCTACAGAAGCTTCAGATAAAGACTTTTCAAGGGGACCCCCAAAACGCCTCCAAACTGCTTCTTCAACCCTATGCAGCCCTAAGAAGGGGGTCCCTAAACCCCAAACCCCTAAACCCTCCAACCCTTAAGCCCAAAACCCCTAAACCCTTAAACCCCTAAACCCCGAAACCCCTAAACCCCGAAACCCCGAAACCCTAAACTCCGAAACCCCGAAACCCTAAAACCCTTATAGTACCCTTATAGACCCCTTATAGTACCCTTATAGATCCCTTGTGGTAGTCCTTGTTGGAACCCCCTGGCCAGGAGCGCGCCGAGCGCGCCGCCCGGAACCTGGCGTCCTCCTCGGCGTCGAGCACCGATCGCTATGTCGGGGAAGGACAAGGCGCGAGGGTTGTTTTTTTTGGGGGTTTCGGGATTCCTTCAAAGGAACCTATGAGGGTTCCTATAAGGGTTATAGGGGTTCTATGTTCTATAAACGGGTTCCTATAAGGGTTCTATAAAGGGGTTTAGGGTTTAGGGCCGTTTAGGGTTTGGGGTGTAGGGGTTTCGGGGGTTTAGGGGTTTAGGATTCTTTTAAAGGGATCGATAAGGGTTCTTTTAATGGATCTATACGAGTTTAGGGTTTTCGGTTTCGGGGTTCCTTCAAAGGGGTCTATGAGGGTTCCGATAAGGGTTCTATAAAAGGGTTTACGGTTTAGGGTTTGGGGTTTAGGGGTTTCTTAGGGACCCCCCAAAAGCACAGAAGCACAAGCATGTTATAAGGATATCCTTACCTTATCGGGCTTCAGTGTAAGGGAGTTTACATGGAATGCCCCTAGCCTTGTTTATTCCTGCTTATATGCTGTTTTCGGGCCCTAGTTTCGCGTTTAGGGTTTAGACACAGTAAAGTCCGCCAGCTAATCATCACCCTGGATGTGTTGTGCAAGACCGTGTAGCTGCATGCGTCCTTCAAATCCCGAAGTCCTGAAACCCACGAGAACATTGCAGAAGACTGCGGCGTAAGGTTGAACTACAGCTAGCTAAGGGTCTCGAAACTTTGAACCTGGACCCCGAGCTTCCTTGTGTTGGACATAAAGCCCAAACCCGGAATCCTCCGCACTCTGCAACAACTACGCCCTGGTTTCAGGCTTGTCGGAAGGTGCCAAGAGCACCAACGATGAGGAGGCGGAAGAGGACTACAAGCCTCAGAAAACCTGCCCAAGCCTCCATTACGACCCCCGAGGAAAGCTTTGATACAATCGCTAGAACCCCTTCCAAAGCCAACCCGAAGCCCCAAAACCTCAACCCTTAGCTCTGAGCCCTAAACTCTACTTAAAGGATCATGGGACTTAATAACTAGGTTTACAATTCGGCTAACTATACTTATAGCTACTTATAACCCCAATTAAGGTACTTGCAAGCTTACTTTATAAGCCCCATGATCCTCCAAGTAGGCCCTACACCCCTGAAGGCAGGGTGGTTCAACGGGGGAGGGTACAAGGGATCCTTAGGGAACTCAGGACCCTCTTTGTGCCTTCAAACCGGGCTAGTAGACCTTCTTAAGTAATTCCTACTAAGGGATATAGGTATAGGGCTCTGTCTATTACTTCTAAAAGGACAAGGGTGCTTCAAACAGGGGTTTATGGCCCCAAATAATGGGCACTTAGGGTCTACTAGAGGGTAGATGGACCGTCTAGGCCGACCTTTTCGGAGCACTAGGGAGAACTAGGGACCAGTAGGTTATCTACCCGATTTGGAGCCCCCCCCCCAATAAGGGAGTTTCCGAACATAGGGGACCCGAATATAATACTCTAAGCAGTAGGATCCTTCTTTTAAGGGCCCCAAAACAAGGTACTAGTACCCCTAATTTTCGGAAACTCCCATAAGGACACAAAAAAGCAGACTTGAACAACGCCGTGCGCTCATGGAGGAGCCTTTGCCAGACCGAGAGCTCTGGGAATCCGTCGTGGAGAAGGCGGGGAGGGTTTAGGGTTATGGGTTATGGCTTATGGGTTTAGGGTTAGGGTGTGGGTTCCAGGGGTGGGATGGGTTTGGGGCTGGGGTTTGGGGTTTAGGGATCTATAGGGGTACCTTTAAAGGGATCCATAAGGGTTCTAGAAGGGATCTACAGGGTTCATAGGCTTTTCGGGTTTGGGGATGGGGTTGGGGGTTTAGGGTTTGCAGGGTTTAAAGGGTTGGGGGATTCTTCCTGTTGGGGGTTTTACGAGGGTGTTGTACGGGGCTTGAGTCGGCGTTAGAGTCGTTTTTATAGGAGTTTTGTGAGCGACTGTGAGGTTCTGATCTGGGTTTGTATACGAGGCTCTAATATAGGGGCCCTCATAATTAGAATGGGGTTTGGGGGGCCCTTATACTATGATTATAATGAGGAACCCCCAAAATAGTATACGGTTTCTTCAAGGGCGTGTTGGGTGCCATCCAGGCGTTTTTGAAGGGGTTTTGCAGGGCTCGTAAGGGTTTTGTTTTTCGGGGTTTAGGGTTGTTGGATGGTTTAGGTCTCATTAGGTGCAAAATTGAGTTTAGGGCTTAAGGCTTTGGCTTTAGGGCCCAAGCGTTTCCACGGAGGATGTTTTTGGGGCTTCGGTCTTCAGGGTTCGTCATATACGGTTTTTGTGCACCAGATTTCTTGTTTAAGCTTTTGGGGCTTGCCCAAAACCCTAAACCAGAAGTGCAAAGATAAACAGGGCGCTGAAAAAAAGCCCTAAACTAGAACATCGCTGGGTTTCGCGATTCTGCCGGCTACTCCGAGTCAGTCATAGAGACTAAGGAATTCTGCACGGCGCCTGCGGGTCCCGTTTTGTGTGCGGGTCGGGTTCATGGTAGTTATGGGCTGGGTTTGCACGTAGTTGAGAGCGGCGTCTTTTCTTTCTTCGTGTGTGATGTCCTTGAGTTGCTACAAGATGTGAACGGCCCTGCACTCCGAATGGTACATAGAGTTTGGAATCATATCTAAGCCCATCCAAACCCTCTAAACCCTCTAAACCCTCTAAGCCCTAAACCCTAAACCCCCTAAACCCTAAACCCCTAAGCCCTAAACCCCTAAACCCTAAACCCTGTAAGCCCTAAACCCCTAAACCCTAAACCCTCTAACCCCCTAAACCCCTAAACCCTAAACCCTAAACACCCTAAGCCCCAAACCCCCAAACCCCGAACCCCCTACGAGCCCGTGGCTTCGGGCTGAGGATTGGCAGCTCCTGGGGCATGCGCCCACCCCCCTGCGCCGCGACCGGAGGCCTGGGCGTCTTCGGTTCCGAGAGCGGTTTAGGGGTTAGGGGTTAGGGTTCCTTGTTATAATCATAATTAGGGTTTAGGGTTCAGGGTTTTAGGGTTTATTGGGGTTAGGGGTTAGGGTTAGGGTTTATAGGGGTTAGGGTTTAGGGTTTAGGGTTCCTTGTCATAATTATAATCATAGTATAAGTTACTCGCAAACCTGCTGCTAATGAACTATTATATTAGTCCAGGGCCCGGGATAGATGGTAATCGTATCCCTTTTTGGCCCTTAGATAATGGTAGTAGGTATAAACCCCAAAACCCTATCATCATCGCCAATGGCTCCGGGAGTTTTTTCGGTTCAGGTGATTTATGAGTGTACGGTTCAGTGCTGCAGTACCGGAGCTTGTTTATCCTACTAGCGCCGTAAGCCTTACACCGCAAAACCTACCCCCTAAACCCTAAACACGAAAATCCTAAACCTGAACCCCAAAACCCCCAAAACTAAACCCTAAACCCTAAATGCCAAAATCCTCAACCTGAACCCCAAAACCTAAAAATCAAAACCAGAAACCCTTCTCTTTGCGGAGGTAGGGGGCCGTTTTGCTCTATGCCGGATCGAGGGTTCCGGAGGAGCTAGGGTTATATGGGAGTTTCCTATTCCTTATCTTGGGGTCTTTAAAGGGATCTATAAGGGATCCTTAAAGGGATCTATAAGGGTTCTATAAAGGATTTAGGGTTATTTGGGGGTTTCCGAAAATTAGGGGGTACCTTATTTTGGGGGTCCTCATAATAAGGATCCTACTATTTTGAGTAGAGGAAGGTTACACTACTTAAAGGATCATGGGATTTAATAACTAGGGTTATAACTAGGGTAACTATACTTATAACGACTTACAACCCCCAACTAAGGTACTTATAAGCTTACTACGTCCCATGATCCTGTAAGTAGTGTGTGTGGAGGAGCTGAGGGCCCAGGGTTTGCAGCCTCCTCGGTTTAACGAGGAAAGCAACAAGGAAGGTTACACTACTTGAAGGATCATGGGACTTAGTAACTAGGGTGATAATTAGGGTAACTATACTTATAACTACTTATAACCCTCCAAGTACGACCAAGGCTTAGCAGGGTTGAGTGGGGGGTTCAGGCCTTTGACAGGGTTTAGTATGGCTAACGAGGCAGCTCAGTTGGGCTTAGCTGCATGGTTTACAGAGGCAGTTACGGTACACACTGCTGATGGTTACAGTTGTTGTGACTCATGACGTTTTGACAAAGGAACGCGGCTATGATGCTAAATGCAGCTGTAAGCAGTATTACTAGTCAGGGACAGGGTAAGATATCTTGAGTGCACTCAGCCTGAACGCTGCCGGACTGTCCTTACAGCTCATACTTACCACTACCACTACCACTACCACTACCACTACCACTACCACTACCACTACCACTACCACTACCACTACCGCTACCGCTACCGCTACCGCTACCGCTACCGCTACCGCTACCGCTACCGCTACCGCTACCGCTACCGCTACCGCTACCGCTACCGCTACCGCTACCGCTACCGCTACCGCTACCGTATCGGTACCGCTACCCCTACCCCTACCCCTACCACTACCACTACCACTACCACTACCACTACCACTACCACTACCACTACCACTACCACTACCACTACCACTACGACGATGGCCTAGAGCAGCCACCTCTTCCAACACTAGTACTAACTAGTACTACTAACAAGGCTGCTACTTCGACCATGCCCGCTACTACTAGTAGGTATCAGGTTCTGTTTCTCTTGTGCTAGACTCTGCTAGCTGCCAGATCCTGAAAGTCTGTTGACAGAACACTGAGCTCTTCACTCCATGCTCGGAAACCAAGCAAGAGGTTTCTCTCCTCACTGCTGTCTCGTCACGGCTTGGCGCTGATGCACGCAGCACCGCAGCTGCGGAATGACAGGCCATGCGAGTGCAGAGCTCTTTCTTCTGGGGTCTCGGATTGTTCACTCTAAGCCCAAGATATACATGAAAATAATGTGTGTATATATATATATATATACATATGTATATTGTGTGTGTATGTATGTAGGTATGTAGGTATGTAGGTATATAGGTATGTAGGTATGTAGGTGTAGATGTAGATGTAGATGTGGATGTAGATGTATATTGTATATTGTATATTGTATATTGTAAATGTATAAGACCCAGTGAGAATGGGCATTCGTGTTGCGTGGTCATCCAAACGGCATACTGCCGGAATGCGAGTCGCGTACCCGAATCTGGGAAGCTCCCAGGCGGAGTCTGGTCGCCACAAAGCGCCAAGTTAGGGAGCGGGTCTGATAGGCGGTTTTGCAGGACCCAGGATGTTTCAGGGGTTCTTCAAGTCTTCAACCCGGCAGTTGTTTGGGCTCGCCAGTGGCCCCTATCGCAGCTTCGTCCAACTCTAGGAATGGCCTCCATGAAGAGCGTCATCGCCGCCGGTCTCCTTGCTGCGCCTTGCGCCGACGCCTTTGTGGCACCGGGAGCTTCCCATGCCGTCACCAGCCTTCGAGGCTCCACCGCTGTGAAGGCCGAGTCTGGCTTCAGCTCTTCGGCGCTTGCGGTCTCCGCCACGACGGGCGCTGCGGTGCTGAGCTTCGTGGGCACAAGGAAGCCAAGTGCCCGCAAGACGGTGGCTTGCAAGTTCAGCCCCGAGGCACAGATTGGCGTCACCGAGCCTTTGGGATTCTTTGACCCGGCCGGCTTCTGCAAGGATGAGGCTTCCTTCAAGGATTTGCGTGCCAAGGAGCTCAAGCATGGCAGAATCCTGGGTTCGGATGCAAAATCCTTTTACACTATATTTTTTGTATTTTTTTGCAGCTGATGTTCAAGGTTCACTGGCAGACTCATAATGTTAATCAGTATGTTTTTAGTGCAGTGAGAATAACACTGATCCAGGATTGGCTATGATGGGAGCCCTCGGCCTCTTGACGCAGAGCCTGGTGCAGCTGCCCGGCATGGAGGGAGTCCCGAAGGATGTGTCGGCCTTCACCACAGGTGCCTAAACCCTAAACCCTAAACGTGGCGGAAAAAGGAGCATTCAAAAAAAAGCCTTAACCCCTACCCCATAAACCCTATACCCTAAACCGCAGGTGCGGGACAAACCGGCTTCCTCATTACCATCGCTATCATCGCTGCGTTGGAGGCGGCTGTCTTCGTTCAGGACGACAGCAAAGAGCCAGGCAGCTGGGCATGTACTATAGGCGCCTTCATAATAGTATATGGGTGGTTGTCAAAATTATGGTCCCTTTTTGGGTCCCTAATATAGTACGGCACCTAATATTTAGAGTATCCAAAAAGGGATCATAATTTTGACAACCACCGATAGGAGGCCTTCATAATTGTATATATATATATACACACATATATATTGTATTGTTTGGGGGGGTTCCTTATCATAATTATAGTATGACGGGCCCCAAAAGCCTATTCTAATTATTGAGACCCCCATATCATCTTTCCGGTCTTTCGGCGGTGACTTTAGCCCGGGGTCATCTTGGTCGGCCTTGTCGCTGATCGTACTCTAGTTTTAGAAATTTTAGTATTATAGTCTCACAGTCTTATAGTATTATAGTAGTGTAGTGTTATAGTGATATAGTGTTATAGTATTATATGAAGTATTCTTATACTATTATTATGGTGTTATTGGTGTATTATTACAGTATAATGATAGTATTATCATAACAGTCAGGCAACTTCGGCAATCCGCTGCCTCTCGTTGGGGATGATTATTCGGACGAGATGCGCAACCGCGAGATCAACAACGGCAGGATCGCTTAGGGGTTTGGGGTTTAATTAGGGTTTTGGGGTTTAGGGTTTGGGGGGAATGCTTAGGGACCCCAAACGGTCATACGCATAAGCATTTTGTAGAGATATCCCTACCTATATTGGGCTTCGTTGTATGGGATATCACGAGGGACCCTAAATCCAGGGAGTCGAGCAGCTGCAGATGAGTGTGTCTTCGCATCCGATACTTCTTCATATATATATATATATATATATATGTATATGTATATATATATATATATATAGAGTATTGTTTGGGCGGTTCCTTACCATAATTATAGTATAATGGGCCCCAAAACCCCATTCTAATTATTGAGAATAGGCTCCATGAGTCGATCTGAGATGTAGTAGCTTAGCCCCGAAGTGCAGGATCGCCATGTTTGCCGCGATCGGCCAGATCGCAGCCGGTCTCTACACTGGCAAATCCGCCATCGAGCAATTCGGACTTTGAAGCAGACAGCGCCATGTTGTATGACTTCCTTGAGTCGTGGAATACCCATAGGCCCCGTAGTAGTTCCTGTTTGGGGTTCATATTTAGAATCTTATAAGGTAATCCCAAGAAGGAACTGCTATGCAGCCTATGGGTAGATTTATTTTATTTTCAGGGTCCTGAGCTTCAAGCCTCAAGCGCTTGTCGCTTAGCAGCCAGTTCGATTTGGCTGGCCATTTGGCACCGTTTTCGCCGCTACTTGCCTTTGGTTAGTAGGGAATGGAAGAACGGTAGTAATCGTAGTTATACTAGCACCCCATTCCTCCATCCCTACTAACCAAAGGTAAGGCTACAGGTACGGCACATCAGATTGGAATCCTGAGATGCTCTGAAACCGGGCCTTGTTGCGAAAAGAGCGTCGATCAGCAGTGTAAGTAGACATGGCACATCGCTGCATCAGCGCTGATAGTTTGTCGAGGGCAGTGTACTAACGATCAGAAAGGGTGTCAAGTAGCCGTGGAGACGAGCAGGAGCGTCAAGATCCGGAGGAACACACCCTAGCAGTACTTAAGGTGGGAATTTCAACTTCAGGATCAGCGCCCCTTCAACCCCTAAACCTTAAACCCCTAACTCCCCAAATCCGCTAACCTTTATCTAGGTATCTGGTTAACCCCCAAAACCTCTAGATCCCGAAACCCGCCAATCTTTATTCAGGGATCAAAACCCCTAAACCCCTAAACCCCAAACCGAAATCCCTTAAACACCCAAAAGCCCAAACCCCCAAACCCCTAGACCCCCTAGACCCTATCTGGGTGGTTGTCATCAAGATTATGGTCCCCTTTTGGGGTCCCTAAAACAAATACGGCACCCAATATTTAGGGTACCGAAAAAGGGACCCTAAACCCTAAACCCCTCAAGCCTAAACCCCTGAACCCTAAACCCTAAGCCCCTAAACCCTAAACCCGAAACTGTAAAACTCTAAACCCTAAACCCTAAACCACTGAAAAAATAGAACCCCTAACTCAGAGAGCCCCAAAACTCGAGGGATCTGGTCCTCGTGGCCTTGCGGAGTCACGGCGGGGCGCTGGCCTTTGCCAGCCAAGAGCTGCGGTCGGATCGAGGCGCTTTGCGGCTAAGATTGCGGGTTTGGGTTTTTAAGGGTTTCGGGCTTTGGGTTTAAGGGGTTTAGAGTTATTTTAGGGTTGTAGGGTTATTTTAGGGTTTTAGGGTTATTTTTGGGTTAAGATTGCTGGTTTGGGGTTTAAGGGTTTAGGGTTTATAGGGTGTAACTGGGGGTTAAGGGTTTTAGGGTTTAGGGGTTAAGGTTAAGGGTTTACTTTAGGATTTTAGGGTTGATTTTGTGGTTTTAGGGCTATTGAGGTTTGTTTCAGGGTGTTTCTTTGTGTTTTTTGGGGTCAGCTTAGGGTTACTTGGGCACTTGGGTTCCGCAAGGCGTGGGTGTAGGTTTTTGTTTGAGTGTTGTGACTACGATGGCTACTGAAACAATAGAGAAAGATTCACCAGGTGACAACATGCGCTGTTCTCTGAAGCAGGTTCCTAAAGAAACAAGCCTTGTCGTTATCGAATCGCCGTCAGCAGCGACAGTTCAACAACAGTCATGGCAACCTTTGCAGAAGTGATGATGATAGTTGTAGTCATGGCGTCAATGGTAACGGTTATAAGCACACTAACAGCACGAACAACGTCTGTGCCAGTCACACAGACAACTACAGCCGAAGCCAGAAGCCCTGGTACAAAGACCAAAAGTTGTGCTCCAAAGTGCCCCATATAGAGTTTTTATAGGACGAGGTCTTCAAGGGCTTGATTTAAGGATTAAGGGCTGTCGCGCTTTGAGGTGTAGGGTTTAGTGATTTGGGGTTTGAGGGTTTGGGTTGGTGGGAATCATGTAAGGCACTTCAGGACGTCCACGATTTAATGCTGCTTATGATAATGATCCCACTGTCTCTGACGTACTGGGACCCAAATCTTTTGAATCCGATGAAGCACGACACCCTAAAGCCGGCACCTTCAAACCGAAAAGCACCGAGAAAAAACACACTAGTATAGGGGCCTAATTAATTACCAATACTATTTTGTTGTTTTCCTTTTTGTAATTATAGCAGAATAGGCCCCCAAACCCGATTCTAATTATCAAGGCGCCTATATTACTTATCCTGAAGCCCGCACCCGAAACCCTAAAAATTCCGAACGCCCTAGAGTACTAAAGCCTACAAGTCTACAGACATAGAGCCATCTATGTAAACACGGAAGCCAGATGTTCCTGAAAATCCTGAACCCTAAACCCTAAACCCTAAAGCCCAAACCCTAAAGCCTAAACCCGCACCCCGCGAATCCGCCCTGGAGGCCTCGTGCAGGAAGCTGTACATCACAGTGGCCTCGCCCTGCAGCCAAGGGCTGAAGAACAACTGAACCCCAAGCCTTCACAGGGTTCAGGGGTTTGGTGCTTTCGGTTTTTAAAAAAAGGGTTTAGTTTCATTTTGGGTTTCAGGGTCAGTTTAGGATTTAGGGTTTAGGGTTCTAAAGGTTGAAGGGACATGATTACAAGCTATCCTGCCTCATCCGGTTGCAGCTATCAGTTTCCTTCAGTTCACCCTCCGGAAATTGAGTCAGCTATTGGCTGCTTGGAAGCCATTTAAGTCATGTCCATCTTGTTCTTGATTTTGTTATGAAGTGCGCATAAGAACTTGTGCTTGCCACGGAACAGTCAATGTTCGGTTTGTAAGTTTGCAAGAGGTCCTTGTTGCAAGGGCTGGATTCTGTGCAGGCTTTATCGCTTCTGTATGCTTCTATGCGCCCAGGGATTTACACGGTCGGGTTTTCTGCTTGTCTTCTGAAGTCTTGCTTGCGGGTTCGCAGCCTTACCGCGCCCCGTGCCGTGACGCCACACGAAAGCATCATTCCGCGGGATTCCCTCAAGGCACCCTAACAAGCCCTGAGCCCTAAACCCTAAACCCCTAATTAAACCCTGACCCCTGAACTCTAGACCTGAACCCCAAGACCCCCTAAACCCTTGAAACCTAAACCCCTAAACCCTGACCTCTGAACTCTAAACCTGAACCCCAAGACCCTAGACCGCTAAACCCCTAAACCCTTAAAACCTAAACCCCTAAACCCTGACCTCTGAACTCTAAACCTGAACCCCAAGACCCTAGACCCCAAAACCCCTAAAACCCAAACCCCGACCCCCGAACTCGAAGCCTGAACACCCAAAACTCCAGACTCCTAATGCCCTAAAACCCTAAACCCGTAATCCCTGAATCCTGAACTCCGAACCTGAGCCCCAAAACCCTAGACCCTAAAGCCCTAATCCCTGAACCCTAAACCCTAAGCCCTTCGTTTCGGCCGCAGGCAGAGTTAAAAGCCACGAAGCTCCCGAAGAAGAAATTTCCCAGAGACTCCAATATCCCTTAATTGGGGAATATACAACAGCCTACAGGAATTATAGTTTACATAGATAGGATCCCCAATATGTTTTGCAGTATATTCCTTTATTAAGGGATATTGGCGTCTCTGGGTTGAGGTTTGCGAGTGCAGAGCTATTGCGAGACCGTGAGCTGGTCTTGCAGGCCGAATTCTTTAGGGCTTCGGGCTTATAGGGTTTACATAGGATTCAGGGTTTAAGGCTTAGGATTTGGGGTCTAGGGCTCAGGGCTTAGGGTTTAGGGTTTAGGGTTTAGGGCTTAGGGTTGAGGGTTTAGGATGCCTTCTTGCGCAATGGCTGGTAATCCATGCTAGGATGGTGCACCTCACACCAGGGTTTGTGGGTGGCGGCATATTACGCGTCAAGCTGCGTTCATTGCATGTGTCCTAGAACTCGGTGAAACCGGAAGTTCTCCAAAACCCGCCAGCTGTGATGATACCGCAGGCAACCACCCAAACTATTTCCTGTTAGGGTTTGGCCAAAAGTGACAGGGGGCCAGGCAGGCCAGGAGGGTCCAGGGGGCCAGGGGGCCAAAAGGGAGCCGAGTTTGGGTGGGTGTTTCTGGCTGCGTCTTTTTCTGGGGCCGGTCCAGCAAGCCCTGGGTCCCTGGAATTGGCCAGCCCTCCTGGGTTTTGGGTGGTGGAAAACCCGCACAGGGGATTGGGCCTTTGGTTTAGGGTGTTCCCATCAAGGGAGAATCATCGTATTCTGGTAGATTTTATTGAACCCGAATAATAATAACCCCAATTCGCTTGCCTGGCAGTGCAGTGGTGCCGTGCTGTGCACGCAGCATGCGTGGAGCTGTCGGGAAGATTTTTGAAGCGTTTCCAGCGCGGGAGATACGTCAACATCACAAGGACACTCAAGATCTTCTTCTGCAAACAATCAGTGAACGCATTCCTGAATTTTTCGTTGCAATTACTAGCGTTACTAGCAACTACTAGCAGCAATCGTAGTACGAGCAGAGGCGCGCTAAGCCCCAGTGTAGGTGTGCAGTGTGGAGGACATGCGGGTATCCGACAATTCTGTCCGAAAACGCTAAACCCGAAGCCAAAGACACGAACACCCCAAATCTATGCGTTTCTCATGTACTGTCTCAAGACCGAAGGCGACGAGATATGCGACAGAGTTTACAATAAGGGTTCTGTAAGGGGTCTTTCAAACGGTACTAGAAGGGTTGGATAATAGAAGGTCTATTCTATAGAAGCCTCATTACTCCTGAGAGTTCGCGCGTATGCCCTACTCATACTCTACCTCAACGTTTTACTGATGTGGACAGAACAGAATGGTGTAGAGTAGAAGAAACACGCAGGGCACACCGCAGAGCGAGGGAAACATGTGACCATGAACGGCAGCAGTTGTAGCCACGACAGTGCTCAGGAAAGTCACACCCCTCTGCCAAAAAACTCCTGAGCCCGAAATGTCACCCTAAACCCAAAACCCCAAACCCCATACCCTAAACCTAAACTCCATACCGGTCGGAATCGATCTAGTGGTCAAATCTTGACAGGCTGTGGAACATTGCGGATTTGCCCTGCAATTTGTTCCTGAGGCCTGCAGGGTTGCCTCTTCATGTAAGTGGTTCTACAAGGGATCTATAGGAGTGTAGTGTAGGGTTTGGAGTTTGGGGTTCAAGGTTGGGGCGGACATTCCCTGAGCAGTGCGTTAGCACTGTCCTGGCAGTCCAATTAGAAGCATCAGATTCGCATCTAAATCCTCAACCCTCAACTCAGCCTGCGTTTTGGCCGCAAGGACCTCCGAGAGGATCCTGCCATAGCCCTTGCCGCGGTCAGGCGCTGTAGTTTGCTCCTGCATTTAGGAAGATCGGGTCTTGGGTCTGTGGGGCTTTGGGTTTAGGGGTTTAGGGGTTTAGGGGTTTAGAGGTTTAGGGGTTTAGGGTTTGGGCTGAGCTTAGCGATGAGGATGGTGATGGTGATTGCGGTTGTTTGCTTGTAAGCAGACTTTAGAGCAAAGGACGCCAGCATTTGTTGCTTGGGTGTCTGGTGGCTCAGAGCTTTGTTGTAGGCATTGTAAAGCAGGGGTTTGATAAAGGAGTTCGCGAGATGGACGATCTGCATTGAAGAGGCTGTGACTCGACTCCTGCCAGGGTTGGGGATATTGCGTGTTGTTTGCTTGCACATCATGGGGATATCGAGTTTTTTTCGATGTTGGCAGTATTCCAACAGCCAGTGCCAAGGAAGAGTCTGCCTGAGGGCGCCTGCCTACGATAAATCATGAAACTTTGTCATAGTTGGGTAACATTTCAAATTTTTATGGGTACTTAAACCCAATAGGAATAAACATGTACATGTTTAACCCTATCCCATCCATGATCTAGGAAAGGACACAGGCAGGATGGGTGGAGCTCTACAAGGTTGGGGGGTCACCGGGGGAGGGTGAGGGGGGAAACAGATCTCTGACAACTTCGGCCGGGGCCGAAAGTATCATGCTTCCTTGAACATGAACGAGACTGTCAAATTGATTGTGGTTGTCTTCTTTATGGCCAATACGGTTTCGTATCATGGGTGTGATGATCTTTGATCATCAGTACCTAGAACCAAAAGTGTAAGCAACGCCATCTCTGTCTGCATGTGAGATGGTGCAGTGGTAGCATGTTGATGACTCAGAGGTACATGCAAGCTGGCAGAATGGAAACCACAAGCCGAAGTGACGGTAGCAAAGGTCAAGGTCCGGCACCTCCAACAGCGAAACAAGCGAAAGACCAGAACACGGAGTGCGGACAAAAGCCGAAGCTTCGGAGTACAGGATTGGGGTTGCGGCGATCGAAGCTCCCAACAGCGGTTCATGTTCACCAGTTTTTAGCTTCATCCCTGTTACGAGAATAGTTTGTAGTGTCCGGTAGGGTAGTAAGCATGCCGCCTCCCGGACAGCAGGTGACCTGAAAAGCAGAAACAGTTCCTGCACCCAAAACTTACACCCGCAACTGTATTTACATTTAACCCCGACGCCCCCTAAAACCGAAACCCTAAACCGTAAAGAGTCCTGCAGGCAGAATGGCGATGTTCTGAAGCTGCTGTCCCCGCAGCTGAGGCCGACCCTGCACATTCGTGTGAGGTCCAACTTGCCAGAACCTCCAACATACATTGGTGCAGGGTCCTTTGTTGCAACGGTTTCAGACGTGCTTAATATGGAGGAATGTTTGCGTACGCACACACACCCCCACACACACCCCCACACACATTATAAATACTACATACATAAATATATATATATATATATATTCATTCAAATATATATGTATATGTATATGTATATGTATATGTATATGTATATGTATATGTATATGTATATGTATATGTATATGTATATGTATATGTATATGTATATGCATATGTATATGTATATGTATATGAATCCGGATCTGTATTTGTATGTAAACCATGTGTACATGCGGTTGCACATGCATATTGATGTGCATGTGCGTATGTACATGCATGGATGGCTGACTGGCTGGCTGGATGGATGGATGTGTGTATATACAGATATAGGGTTTACGTATAGGTGTTGGGTATGGCATATGGTATATAGTATACGGTATGTGGGCAGATGGTCTGTAGTCCGTGATCAAGTACGCTTTTGGGTTTATTGCTTATGGTCTATGATCTCCGGTCTCTCGTCTATGCCTGCTTCTATGTGTATGTAGTTGTAGATGTTTTTGTAGGCATGGATGTGGGTACAGATGTAAACATATGTGTGCAGAAGCTGGCTATACACATGATGTGCCGTACAAACTGACGACCATCAGTCTTGATTTCACATGTCACTTCAGCATAAAGTTGGCGCTCTCTTACAGTGAGCTTGTACGAACATATCGGCGAATACGTAGCTACGTAATCACATAGACACAGATGTGCACAGCAGGATTGTGCATTTTGGAAACAGGGCTTTGGCGCATCGTCCAGCTTTGGCGAGGTTGAACGCAAGAGGCCACAGTTGGTGGAACTCTCACATTTTATCTGACCAGTGGTGTTGGGGTTCCCTTGGCTCTTTAGCTCCTTCTTTAATAGGGATTATCATCATCCCTGGCTGCTTAGCTCCCATAATATCAAGTGTTAGTTATTCGGAAGCCTTCTAAGTCAGTGTATCAGAAAGTTATTCTGGCCAGTTCAGTCTTTCTGCTACGAGTCTTGGAAGTTATAAAGTACGTAGCATGTATCTCATCTAATATATTACATTCTATCTGTCGTATACTATACATTACATATTATGAATTGTATATTGTAGGTTATATACGAAAAGTTATACATGAGTGTAACGGCCTTCAATGGGTGGCCGTGGTGTTGCATGGCAGCATCTGCACCCACAGTCGCGAGACCCATCGACTTCGGGCACAGGGCCACGGGTTGTTTTGACCATGCTGCCTCATGAATGCGTCGGGGCTTTTATGCCGGCGTCCTGCGTAGGGTATTGGTTGAGGACTATCCAGTAATGTTCTCGCGAATGAGTATTGCTACACATGTCGTGCGCGAGCTGCGCCCAGATGCAAAATCCGAAATGGTTTTCACCATAAAGCCTTAACGCTAACCTTAGACCCGATGCAAGGAACCGTAAAGAACTCCAGTGGAAGGCTTGCAGCCTTTACGTGCCATAGTACGAGAATCTTGGGTTTAAGCCGCAGTTCCACACGCTCGAACCATCGCTTACTGGTGACTTGTTCTTTACACTACACTCAGACATTTGGCAGCAGATGTTGGACAAGGGATGACCGATTAACCACGTGCAACCCCATGGAACACATGGCAGAACCTTGAGGTTTCTTTGAAGCGAAATCCAAACGGTTTAGGGGTTTAGGGTTTAGGGTTTAGGGTTTAGGGTTTAGGGTTTAGAGTTCGACAGAAACCCGCAAATTATTCTGTGATCCGATCAGCCACGGTTCTGGACTTTTCAATCCCAAGCCCAGCCGTCGCGAGCATGAGCTCTACACTGTACACTCTACTATACAGGCCTTCATAATAACCAATACTATTTTGGGGGGACCCTTATAAATACTATAATATAATGGGCCCCAAAACCCTATTCTAATTATTAAGGCCCCTTTTTCACCCCGGAAGCTTGAACCCCGAAACCCCGAAACCTAATGCCTACAGCCTAAACGTCGCTGGCGCGCATGCAACAGAGTCCGCAGGAACCCTAAACCCTAAACCCTGACAACTACTGTACCTGCAGTCTGAAAAGGGCCCAATTTAAAAAAAAAGCGATACAAAAGACAAAACACCTTAACAAAGCAGCATTCCGAACGATTTTCGGCTGCAGGGCCAACCCGAAAATCGTCCTGGCGGGCCTGAACGCAGCGCCTGCAGCGACTCTGAAGGCCGTGTTGTATTTTTGAAGCAGTGTTTAGAGGCTTTGGTTTGGCTTTTGTGGGTTAGAGCTTGCGGCTTTGTGTTTAGTGCGTTAGTGGTGTGGGGTTTAGGGTTTAGTGGTGTTTAGGGTTTGGAGCTTATGGTTCGGTTTAAAGGGTTTTCGGGTTTTGGGGTTTCCCAACAGCTAAAGCCAAACGAATACAAATGCAGGAGCAGCCAGAGCAAGCCCTGTGGCACCACCATATGCAGATCCACGAGGTTAGGTTTTTCGGGGATTGGGACAAAGGATTGCGAATTTGGGGTTCTGTCCAGACATAGTAATCACTTATACCCTCCTTCGTGATGGCGTTTTGACACGGACGCACTGAAGCTCGTACAGTCCTGCGTCAAAATACGAGAAGCCTGACAATGGGCTTCCAAGCAGTTCCACTGTTGGAAGCCGCAGTCAAGTGCTGCAACGTTCAGGCGGTATGCAAAGACTTAACTGTGGTTGAACGCAAGATCCGAAACCCCACGCCGTGGAGGTGAACCATGCTTGGAGGTTCATGGGTAGTTATATGTGGGGTTATAAGTAGAGGAACTACAATAATCAGAAACCCGTGTTAAGGAACTTATAACGCCTCTTACAATTTACCATGAAACTCAAAGTAGGCCCTCGACAGTTAAATTAAGTCATCAGCCACAGACCCTGAAGTCGCGCACACCCTTTCCAGAGCGACCGAACTCGCAGAACAAGCTTGTTCATGCCCACGTTGCCATGCAGGTGGAAGAGCAGCGCCGGCGATCTTGTGCTACGGTTCAAGGGTGTTGGCAGAAATTTCTGCAGTGATGTGGATAGGCTTCTCGTACTGTATGCTTCTGGGATATTTTCCGGAGTTGCTTTGTGTAAAGTTTCCTGCAGTATGCAAGCTGAATTTTCTGTTACAGTATTCGTGACTGCGTACTTCCCTCCCTGCCGCTGTTGATCTGAGGATCGGCCCGTTAGGGCAATTTAACTTGGAAGGACACTACTCACGGTGACATAGCAGGCGAAGTTTCATCATTCAGCTTGATGACACTTCGAGAATCGTGCAAAAGCAGGGCACCAGATGGAGTTCTCTGTTCAACCCCAGAGAATTCTTGTAACTTCCACGCCATCACGAACCTGACGCTTACTGCAAGAAGTTTTGAGTTTGCAAAATGTGATGATACGCGGGACAGCATGTCACTGTGTAGTACGGTACGAGGACATCATGGAACAGCACAAAGCACGATGTGTGGCACAAGCTTGATGCAGTCTAGTGCAGGTCAGTGTGTCCGCACGTGCTACGATAGGCCTAACACACCGCGACGAAGGATTAGCTGTCTGTCAGCGCACAACGCACAGCTAAACGTGCAATCGCGCAGCACAGAGTGTCTATGTATAGTGAACAGCATAGCCAACATGGCATAGTATAACATGTAACAAGGACGTGCAGCACTTCATGTAAAACGTCTTGAAGTGGTGCAGCGGAAGACATCTGTCAGATAGTGTAGTATTTAGAAATTTACGGGTCGAAGTTGAAGAAGCGGGGAGACTGCATGTTACCTTGGTTGGAACTGTTTGTGAAGCTTGAATTTCGCCAGGGTTTCCGTCGCTGACATCGAAAGCAACCTGGCCCACCTCTGAGAATTCTCTGATGGCTTATGGGAGAACTTTAAAAACTTTTTGGCTTTATATAGTTTGGCCTATGTTCAATAGTTTGAGCTTTTCTTGGGCTCGGCTATTTCATTTGATTAAGGGTTTGGTTTGAGGCTTGAGGGTTGTGGCTTTGGGGGCTTCCGCTCCTCTTTCAGTCGTAATGATATTACCATGGAAACGGTCATGTTCGTAGTTGCAATGGCCATGCTGCAGTCGCCAATGCTGCTGCTACTTCTGACAGGGCGAAGCTCAAGTTTCAAAAGATCCGGCTTTGGCTGATAGTACAGGATGGCGGCAGTCACTACCATGATCATGAAGCGGGTTTCGACGGCTACGACGAAGTTGCTGAGGTTCATGACGGCGATTAAGAAGATTAATATGCTCTTGATGTTGCCGATGATGTGATCATGGCGACATTTCATCAGTAAAGGAACCATTATGAAATAAGAGTTTATACTTTTTGCTCCCTGGTTACTTAAACGCCCAGTAAAATGTTCGGCTCAGTGGATCCGAGACAAACGACTCCCTGCGTCAGCTTCAAAGCCCCTGTAGTCCGTTCGGGGTTCAGGGGCTCAAGTAACAACAACCAGAGTATCATAATGGTACTAGTAATAGTAATGATAGTAATAGTACCAATGATGAGAGCAATAACAGCAACAACAGTAGTAATAATGGTGAAATGTATACCTGGCCTGGACTCGGAATTCACTTCGAAACGGGTGGCTTGCTTATCACCGCAATGCTGGCTGGCATTCGACGGTCTTCGCAGTGTTCCCTGTGCCTGCCGAGCCACAGCGTAGTGGCAGCCAGTCTGCAGGTGGTAGTAATGACGAGGTATGGTGAGAGTCAGCCCCACAGAGCCAGGCATCTCGTTCTCGACAATGGGAGTCCGGCGACGGGAGAAGCGTCAATTAAAAGATTGGCTGAAACCAAAACCTAAGACCTGAATCGTCAACCGGACCTAAACCGTAAGTTATAATCAGAGTTCCTACAGGCCAACTCCTCCCTAAACCCTAAATTCTGTACCTCATAGAATCCATTATGGAAACCCAGATCGTAACCAATACGGTAAGCCTTATAGTCCTTCTCACAGGTATCCTCTAAAGCCTTCTTTGAGACTCACGACCCTAGAAAAGCGAGGTAACAATTCTATGAAACCCTAGAAAACCTCTATCAAACTTTATAATTCCCACTCAGCCGTTTTAAAGAGACCGTTTAATAAAGCCCTGTGCAACATCTAAAGACCCTACAGTGGAAGCCCAAAAGTTGGAAACCCAATAGCCTCAATCCTTGAGAGTCATGTATAGGGATCCCAGCACTAATTGCCCTGAATCCGGTTTCCAACTTTTGGGGTTTACTATATACACCCCTTATAAATCCCCAAAGGCCCTTAAAGGCCCCCTTATACATCCCAAAAGGCCCTTGAAGGCAGCCCCTCTTCGCACCCTGGCCAGAAGCACAGCGGCTCTCCCCTGCGCCATGCCGCAGAGACGCTGCGTGGGGGCCCTGGGTTTCTTTATTTTTATGGGTTTAGGGTTTAGGGTTTAGGGTTTAGGGTTTAGGGTTTAGGGTTTAGGGTTTAGGGTTTAGGGCTTAGGGTTTAGGGTTTAGGGTTTAGGGTTTAGGGTTTAGGGCTTAGGGTTTAGGGTTTAGGGTTTAGGGTTTAGGGTTTAGGGAAGTTTAGCGGTTGAGGTGTTTAGGGGTTGAGGGGCTTACGGATTGACGGGTTGAGGGGGTCAGGGCATCTTGTTTTGGGACTTCCTTTCAGGATTACTGCTAGGAGTCCCTCTAAGCACGGGTTCCTCAAAGAGATCCTTTTATCAACCGTACTATGACTTGCGGATTCGGTTATACTGGGTATGCAAGGGACCTGGGAGGAGTCCGTACGGGTGCAGTCACAGTTCCATGAGGGTTTTCTGTACGGGGTTTAGGACTCAAAAGGCTTCATCCTAAACCCCTCAACCCTAAACTCTAAACCCCAACCCCTCGACCCCAAATCCTGAACCCCTGAACCCTAAACCCTAAGCCCTTGAGGTGTTGAGGTTTGGGTTTCGGGGTTCTCTTACTCGGCTTGAGGGTTTAGGGTTTTTTGAGCTTGAGGGGAGTTTGGTTTGTAGGGCTTGGGGTTTGGGGTTCTGGGCAAGGTTGTTTGGGTGCCGAGCGTCGTCTCGAAGTTCGAAAGTTCTGTAGTTTCATCTGGGAGTTTCCGAAAATAGGGGACCCTAATATAGCACCCCAAATAGTAGTAGTAGGATCCCTTTTGTAGGGACCCCAAACTAAGGTACCCCTAATCTTCGGAAACTCCCATCTTGGTACGGGTCGTGACGATAGTTTTGGCAATGATGATTCGGAAGCTTTGATTTAGAGCGCCCCCGCCTCGTTTCATTGCCGTTCTACTTGTGAACTGGTGATGTTGGCTACGCTGCTGTACCAAGAGCGCTTTCAGACAAGGTTGGCACTGTGTGGCACCCATGTCGTGCCAGGGAAGTTCTCCACCACCAAAACCCGACACCCGAAAGAAACCCCGAGCTCAAAGCCGCATGCCCTAAGTCCTAAGCCAGCCCTAATCCCTAGACCAACCGCTTAGAGCTTCGCCAGCTGAGGGGCAGACCGGTCGTTGGTCATGGAAGCTGTAAAGCTCGTGCGGGCCTTTGGCCTGAGGGCTTCAGCTTTTAACCTCAGATGTACTATATGCTATATGGGAGTTTCCGAAATTAGGGGTACCTTATTTTGGGGTCCTTATAATAAGGATCCTAGTATTTAGGGTGCTATATCAGGGTCCCCTATTTTCGGAAACTCCCATATACTGTTATATACCAGATACTCTCTACTATAGATTATATATCAGATGTAAGATATGCTATATACCATATACCCTATACCGTGTATTATATACTACACCTCACTAAACGGCCGTTGGATTGCGGGCGTCAGGTTTTCGGGTGCGATCAGTTGACCTCACTCTTTTTTTCTAAACCCGAAACCCTAAGCCCTAAACCCTAAACCCTAAACCCTAAATCCTAAACCCTAAACCCTAAATCCTAAACCCTAAACCCTAAACCCTAAGCCCTAAGCCCTAAACCCTAACTCGAAGTCGCAGCTTTCGGCCTGAGGTTTCTCTGTCGGGTGAAAAGCTTCTGCTCTGGGCATGGTGGCTTGCTTTAAGGGATCTATAGTAGGGTTCTATAATCTAAAATGATTATACCTTTTTAGGGGCCCCTTATTCTAAGTATAGTACAGTGGGCCTTCTACTATGCTTACTGGTTTGGGGTTGTGCTTCTGCATTGCTCCCACTCTGCTCTTGTTGTCGTTGCTGATGCTGCTATGGTTGTTATCCTTTCCGTGGAAGCCCTTGTTGTCGCCGTCAGGGTTGCTATCCGTGGAATGCAATGGGGATCAGCCTTGCCCTGGGCTTAGGCTCTTGTACGCCAAACAGATTCCACACCTGATCTGGTACGAGAAGCCTCGACCTGAAATGTCAAATGCCGTGAGAGGCGGAGCATCCCGGAGCCTCAAAGCCTAAACTCCCAAACTCGGAAGCCTAAACACTAAACCTTAACTGTTGAACTCTGAACCCGGAGCCCAAGACCTGACACCCAGATCCTGGAGACCTTTTAGGAAGGAGTTGTCCTAAAGCCCTTTCTCTCACGGTTTAGGGTTTACTATAGGGGCCTAAATAATTACAATTTCTGTGTTGGTTCCTTAATATAATCATTGTATAAAAAACACCAAACCCTATTCTAATTATCAAGGCCCCTGTATTCGGGATCCTCAAAAAGAAAAGGATGGCTCGGCCCTCCTCTTCGCGGCGGGGCCTCCAAGACTCTCACATAGAGTCCGAATAGGGATCAGGGTTTGGGGGCTTAGGGTGTAAGGGTTGGGCTACGGCTACGGAGTGTAAGGGTTGAGGCTTGACCAAGGACGGGATGGGGATTGGGGCTTTAGATTTTAGACGACTACGATCTCGACCACTACGACCACGACCACGACCACGTCCGCCCACGTCCACGACCACGACCACTACCAATACCTCTACCAGTCTACCACTACCACGACCACTACCCCTACCCCTACCACTACTACAACTGACTACTGCTGCTATGACAACAGCGACGACGACGACGACGACGACGACGACTACTACTACTACTACTACTACTGCTACTGCTACTGCTACTGCTACTCCTGCCGCTGCGGCGTGGCCACACTGTCGCTGCTTCATGCTGCTTCGGCTACAACGGCAAAGAAGACCAGGACGGCCACCTCTATTCGTGGTGCTAAAGCAAGCGCTCCCATCAACACCAGAAGAGCGACCATGAGTACTGCCACGGCCACAAGCAAGATGTTAATGTAGCTGGCAGATCTTGGGTCCCTGATCGTGAACATGTGTAAGCAAGCCGAATGGTAATACCTCGTTCGTATCTGAAGGCTGGTGTCTTCACCTTCCCCGACCTTGCATGGGTCGGCTTAGGTCATTCAGCGTACGTTGACCGTCGGTAGGTGGTTGGCAAGACGGGTGACGGCAGCTACCAAACAACTACCACGACCATGCGCAAACATCACGAACCCTAAACCCTCAACCCTACCTCCAAGTAGTAGCGATCATCGCAGCAAGACTGTTGAATCTCAGCCTTCCAGCCAGGAGGAGAGCTTGAAAGACGACCGCGGCCTCGTTTTACAGGCCAAGGGTTAAGGGTTTAGGGCTTTCGGGTTTAGGGATTGAGAGTCAGGGTATTGGATTTTTGGGTTTGGGAGTGTGCAAGTTCAGGGTCCTGAGGTTCCGGTCTAGATGCTTGTTGCGGAGGCAGGGGGATTGGGAAAGCTCCGTTTCTGGATGAAAATTATTCCCTTATAGTCCATAGCTACATAACTTTAGCTACACTAAACTTCCAAAACCTAGTCTAACATTCATGAGGAGGAAGGTGCCTGACGGGTGACGGGTTGTTGTGCGGAGTCATGACACGCTTCGACAGAATCGTATGACAGGC